TTGAGAGTTTGGAAAGTGTTACGTAATTATGCTATTACTAGATAGAATTTTTTGGGCTTGTATTATTAAGCATGCAAGTAACTGCTTTGGAAATCTGCTCTGTTATTGATTCTCAAAAACTTTCAGAGGGAATGAGGCCCATGATTTAACAAAACATGTCCTGAAAATGCTTCTTCTTTTCTCAATGTTCCCCACCTAAAACTTCACTGACATGTCATCTTGTTTTTATTAGTTTCTCTGGTCTACCTTCTTTCTACTAGTATTCTGCAACCACTCTTCACATTTCCCCAAATTCCTTTTTTTCCCAGTTATTTTTTCAATATTTTTTTTTTTTTAAATTAAACATCTTCTATTTGTACACTATCATTTTAGAGATGAGCTGATCACTGCTGCTTACAGGGCTGCAGATAAGGCATCACCATTCATGCATACAAATCTAATATTTTAAAAGCTGTCCACATTATAATGTATTATGGATTGTTCCTGTAAATTCTTAAAACAGTATTTTTTAACAGCTTGTCTGAGCAAAGTTGTTAATATCTATTTCTTTTTAAATTGGGATTTTTTTGAAAGAACTTGGGCTTTTTATTTTTCAAGACTTGCGTATGCTTTAAAATGTATAATCAAGAATAGTTACATTCTCCTTCGCTTAGAAAAATGGTAGCTATTTAGCAAGATTTATCATCTTTTTTCTAATATTCATTGCATAATCATAATTAAAATAAAAAAATACTTATCTGTAAATATTTAAAATGAAAACATTACTATTCATGCTGGCTTTCATAAAATTATAATTTTTAATTCTAGAATGTACAATCAGGCACAGAATTTTAAAGAGGGTCACTTTAACCCTTCTTTCTTTAAGAGAAAGTCCACTTACAATAATGAAAATGTTAAGCACATTACAAATACACATTTTATCCCCTGCAAATCTTTTTGATTGCACAAGAAACACAGAATAAATATATAAACATTTGGCCAAGGCAACATTTTAAAGTGCAGAACTCCACTTCCCACACATGAATAATTCAAATAATGCTGCATAATACATCAGCAATACTTACTAGCATTTCATTAATAATCAAAACCTGAAGCAACACAATGAGATCAACATACAACAGCAATTCAAATACATTCAATTTCTAATAAATAACTGCTCATCCGAACATAGAACATATTAAGCATATTGCCCCAATAAGCAAGCTTTCTGCAAACTACCTTTTTTTTTTTTTTTTCAAATTTGTCTGAATGGTGTGCTATCATTGAGCACAAAGACACATTTTGAAACAAAGATCCCTTTCAGATTCTGGCAACAGAACTAAATGGGGAGTGACATCTGGAAACAGTTGTGAATGCATGTTTCCAGAGGTTTTATCTGAGTCAGTAGCACTGTGTTGATTTATAGTGACTGAAAATTATCCCTTTCTTTTGTCCCATGTACTCATCTCCCCTTAGTGTTTTGTTGTCTGATTTTATACTTTGGGGTTTTTTTTGTTGTTTTTTTTTTTTCTGGAAGAGGGAAGGAGGTTGCTTTAATTTGTCTTCAGCTACTAAGTTCTGTGACAATGAGGAGAGATGGGGAATAGTCCAAGTACTAGCCTCCATTAGCATTTTGTTTTGAAACAGTTGTGGTGTTCTGAAATGAATTCCTAATCATCTTCCCTATTGAGTCCTGGTTCAGTTTGCAGGGTGGATTTGGTACACAAGGATTATGTTTCTTTGGAGGAAACTGCACTGGAGGTTCAGATGCATGCCAAATATTTTCTAGTCTCTAAAAGATACATTAAGAGACTGAACCAACTGTTTGGCCTGCTTCAAACTCCATATGCACTGGGGACGTTTATCCAATGAAAGAGAATATATGTGGTCTTAAACTGCATATAGAGTACATGTATGAGTCTCAGCAGTAATTCCTTTAATCTACTGATCGTCTCCTATTGCACCAAGTGTCTTGGGAATCTACATATAGCCAAGTGTCTCAAGGACCAAAACTTCACAGGGGGATCCTCAGTGACTTTCCCAAAACTGCTTCAAAAAAAGTTTAGCTTCTACATCATGTAAGACCTTAGCATTTCTGTGCATAAACCATCATCTACTAAACAAGCTCTTGGGATTACCTCAGATAACCCCATGTAAACTATTTTTTTCTGGCACTACAGTCCTTCTCCATTCAATCCTATTTAAGATGCCGCTGTTGAAATTACCTCCCAGTTTATTTGTTATAACAATTCCTCCACTGGCTTTCTCTCACATAAAATTCAGGTTTCTCTCCTTTACCCCCAAGCACCTCAGCATTTAGTCTAATGCTATCAGTCTTGGTCCTGAATCCTCCCTGTCTTGGGCACTGCAGGCAGCCTGCACCTGCACCAGCACTACCTGCAGGCAGAGCTCCTCTACCATCTGAGATTCTTATAAAGCCAATTCTTCATTTCTAATTCTGGGTAGTGTCTGGATACTAGACACTGGTAAAACTGTAACTAAAAGGCTGGGTTCCTACCTTTTGCCTGAATTTAACAAGAATCAAATGGCTCATGACACAGCCTATATTCAGATATAGAGCTCATTGGCAGCAGTTATGCTAGGGATTCCCTTTGTAACTGGGCCAGCAGTACGGTGTTGAACTTGCTGGAGTGTTTCTGTATTTCCAGCTCCACAAATCTTTTATGAAGAAATGCTAAACCTTATTCTTAACAACACTTCCAAACACTGAGAAAACAATGAAGTCAGAGACAGTTAAAACTACCACTAAAATAAGAGCATTGATTTAATTCATAGTGCTGCAAGCAAAGAAGTAGGTCACAAACATACATTCTACGCAAGGCTATGTAATCTTTCTCTGCTCCAGAGAACATCCTTGCAGGAAAGCCAAAGCTAAAAACCATGCAACTTCCTAAAAATAGTTTCAAACAGTAACTGGGAGGATTAAAACATGTGTCTCACAGGTCTTTGGTTTTGGAATGTGACATTTGGTCAATTAAATTCATGTCAAAATTCATGAGGAAAAATGCTCCCTGAATCAGGAAATCAAGGTAAAGAGCTGAAGATGCCAAGCAAGTGTGCTACTACCATGTAGGTAATTGGAGCACATAAAAAACAAAAGGGTTAAGAAAATACCCTGATGGAAAGTGGGAATCTTAATGCTTAAATCTTGTTTCTAAAGGCTTGAGGAATCATTGAGCAGAATGGATAGGAAGGCTCTACCTGCGCAAGCACTTGGCACAGTGTGGTGCCCTGTGGAGATACCCAAGCCAGAGCCCCATGAGCAAGCCATGCACCTGTAAGTCCACACGCCCTCGTCTTGCTCAGAGGGGTACTCAGCTTCAGAAAATAAACCACACTGAAAATACGCTACTGCTTTACGTGCCCAAGTTAACTTTCACACTTCTTCTTGACCATTTACTGTCTCATGCAGGCTTATGCATTACGATACATGAACACTGAAAATGCTTTTAAAATCAGAAATGTGTCAGTGGTGTTGGGCCAAGAACTCTTTCAGAAGTAGACCTGAAGTGAGACTTCAGGGCAGTGACCTGCCTTGTATTTTGAATAGCGGGAAGTCCTGTGCCTTTGTAACACCAGGCAGCAAGATAAAAGTGTGAAAGCTAAATGAAATCAAAGGAGTTTGAAGCGAGCCTTAAAACCATATTAAACACATGTTTATAGTTACTCAATACAATATTGCCTCTATTGACACTGAAATTACAGCTTACATCCTTTGTGTTCCAAATATATAAAAAAGAGACAAGAAGTACCCTGAAACCAATCCTCCTCAAACTAATCTTGGGAAAAAAATTAGGGAAATATATGCTTTAAAGAAAAGACAGTCACATAGATTTCCAAGTCAAAAAGGGCACATTTTTCACCTGGACTTGTACAGGGCTGGAATTATGGTTGCCATATTGAAAGACACAAAAGAGCAGGTTAAAGCTGATCTGCTTTTTCCAGTGACTTTTTCCACCTTAAGTCAAAGGTACTAATGGCCAGAAATAGCCCGTGTCTCCTGGTTTTTTTTTAAACCTGCTAATTTCCCTTAAAGAAAGGAGAAGGGACATCATATAATCTGTCTGAACAGTCAGGAGCAAATGAGCTCATGAAGGTTCAGGAGGAGGCTGAACTAGATTAAATACTCCCTTTGAGTCCCAAAAAAACCCCCTTTATTTACTTTCCATCAAGTAGCCCGCCCAGATCTCTTAGTTTTTGCTTCTAATTGCACACAAGTTTCATTCAGCTGTCACTCAGCTGAAGATAATTCAATGAAGTGGGTAGAAGATCAGGCTGACAGCTTTCAGACTTAGACTCAAACTCTGTGGAAATGCAGTTTCAGCTGACAGCATCACAGCACAGTGATTTTGCCCTCCCAGCCCTTCCAACCATGGCTAATACCCTGTTTCTTTGGTTCTTCTACCAGCCCTCTTCTGTCTGCCAATGAATGACAGATCTAAATTGTTTGATAATAAGGATCCTTATTTATTTATAAATACACATTTCTTATGAAATTTTTCTTTAAAAAATAATATTTTAAGCAAAATAATTACTTAAAAAATAAGCTCCTAATGAAAACTGAAAAATGTTCAAAGTGCCCCAAAAAAGTAATTGATTTTTCCATAATTTGTGTTAACAGGAAATGGCATTCTTCTTTGATATTCATTATGTGCAAAATCAATTTACTAGCACTGCCTTTTTAAAAAACTCAGATGCATTAGAGATAATGAGAGCCTTATTGGTCTTCGTAATGCTTCCTACACTAGTATTAAACAGAATGGCAGGTGTCCTCTTTTATTAAGGTATTTACCAAATCCCTTATCAATGCACACATGTTGCATTTAGAGATAAATTTAAATACCTGTTTCCTCTAGAATTATGACAATTTTGGTAAAGTAATCCTTTAAAGGTTTAATAAAATTTCTAACATTTGCAAATTTAAAATATTAAACAAAAATAAAGTGTCATTCCTGATGATCAGGCACTGTGTTTAGTCAATTTTTTTCCAAATTGGATGCAGAATGATCAGCAGTGTATTTCGCAAAAGGGAAACGGATTTATACTGAACTTGAAAAAGGAACCACTTGTTTTCCAGCCACATACACTTCAGAAATATTCCGATCATCACCTGAAATAAGATGGTCAAAACAGAGATTTGCACATAAGTCTATGTATTGATTTATTAATTAAAATTATGCAATTAAAAAAATAACCAGTTTCCAAGAAGTAAGAAAGTTTTTTTTTTGAGAGAAATAGTCAGGTAATCCACAAAGATTCAATGGATGTTTGAATTACCTACGCTTTTTTAAAAAAATAAACATGGCATTCAGCTGCTGAAATAGTGTCACGGGTTTTCTATATATTTAGCAGATTCAAACCCTGAAAATACATCTGTAGAGAAAAATGCATCTGTGCAGCATCTGAACTAACTCAGGTCCACACAGCAGTAAAGCTGGTTAATATTAACAGATAGTAAAATGAATGTTTATATGCAATGTAAAGAAAGATATTTAATTACTGTAAACAAATGTGTACTTCATTATGCATAAATACATTTGTTCTTAACCTCCACATCAATTTTGGCAATTTTTAATGTACAAAACAACAAGATAATTTTATGTGGGCTGAGAATCAGAACATACCTAGATACAGGAATTTCTGGAGAATGTCCTATAAAAAAATGGGAGAAAATCAAATTCAGAAAGCAATTATCTGCTATCCCAGATCATAACTATTTGAATCTTGAAAGAATTGCTAAAAATATTTTTCCCCAATATTCCTATTAACAGTAAAATAAAAACTGAATTTGCATGCTTTCTCATAAAAAAACATTCAGTAAGGAGGATGTACATTTCTGACAGAAAACAGTGCACAAGTGTGACAATATAGACAGATATGTCCACAACACAATACTTGTCATTACTTCTTGAAAAAGAAGACAAAATTTGTCAGCATTTTTAAAGTTCTAAGAATTGCTGATTTACCTAAAGAGGTTTAGAGTTAAACTGCACAACAGTTTTTTCCAGAATTATTTTAATTAGGAAGAAGTTTTAAAATTTAGATAATTTAATCTAATCCAGATTATTATTTATTACGCATTGCGTCTGAAACAGGTTAAGGAACATGTATCATGTAAACCCACATTTCTAAGTAAATGATGACATTCAGAATAGAGACAGCAATAGACAGCCTGTCCACTTCAGTAAATTCAAATAACTTGTTCATTTCCTTTTTTTTTTTAATCATAAAAGGCTTTTGTATGAGAAGCATAAACCAATACTGTTCATATATTTGCATAAAAACTGTGCTTTCAACTCAGATTAGCCATTTTAAATTCTTTCTTAAATTTACAATAGCAGAGAAGTTAGGGCAACCAAGCTTTCATCTGAGAACAGGCTGCCACTTTTGAGTTTGAACTCCAGCTGCTGACTAAAACTAAATGACTTTTCCTTGGCTGCCATTTGTCACTGCAAATAGCCAATTTTAGTTTACCATCTTTGGCTAATAAATATGCACTAAAAAAATGCTACACGCTTTTTTGCTGATGGGGATATGGGGCTGTCACAGAGGACAGCAAGATTCTAAAACGACCAACCACTGAATTTCTGAGCAGAAGCACAGACAGAAGCAGTGTAGTACACCTCATTCCTGTTACTGGAATAGCACTCAAGAAGCTTAGTCTGGCTGTATGATGGACCTTCCCCACATCATTTTTTTGATCGTTAATCCTATTGTGATTACCTCAAAATTATCAGCAGAGAACACATCAAAAGGGCTGTCTGAAGCCTTTGTGTTGATTAGCAGTGCATCAAATTCTTTGCCAACTTCGAAGTTTCCAATCACATCGTCTAGGCCTAGAGCTGAGGAAGAAAATAAGCTGAAAATCTTCAATTCAGCCTTCTTTCCACTGTGTGGAAGCACCTACTTGAGTGCTGCCTACTTGTGGCAGCTTAATTGAGATTTTAATAATCAAAGCTACACAAATTTAGATGAATACAAGGAAAATTTTTAAAGCAAATTCAACAGTGAGTACACAAGCATTTGAGTTCTTAAGCAATTTCTCAGTAAAAACATGTATATTTTAGTTATTTTCTAAAGGACGTCTGTTCAGGGTAAAAGAAAGTTGTCTACCTACTGATTTCAACTAAAATGATCTCATATTCCTTTAGGTTTGTGAGCAGAATGCAATTTTTAGATTAAACACAAGAGGGTGACAAGTGTTTAGGAGTCTCAGCAAAGCAAACTTGCAAAAAAGACTAGTTCATTTACATTTCCACAAATTGTACTCATCAGGCTAGTGGAAGGCTGTACAAGTAATTTATCTTCTACCTTTGAAAGTGATTTAATAAAGATAAAACTGCTCAAAATAAATATACAAAATGCACACATTACTCAAATAAACGATAAAAGATAAAAAATGTGCAACAGTGGCTGGGAAGGGTAATCATATAGGAATTCAGGATTTTTTAAGTTTTCCTTTCCATGTATCTGCTAATTTATACTCAATTTTTATGAGAACAGTGTATATTGTGGGGAAAAAAAAAATCTCCTTTTGTTGCCATCTGTCCATTTTCTGTCTTCTCTATTTCCCATGACACCCTCCAGAAATTCAAATACCATCCTGAGAAGACCAGTTTGATAACATTTTCATTACATTTTTCCAACATTCATTAGTAGTTTGCAATGGTGTTTTCTGGCAGCTACAAAAATATTACACTGAAAATACTTGGGACCAGTTCTTTAGCAGGTAGCCAGCTAATTTCTGCTAACTGAAATAGTAATAAACTTTCACTTATGTGAAGAGAGGATTTGCTCTCTGGCAAATCACACAAGGTCCACTAAAACTTTGCTAATTGTATAAATCAGCATGTGCATACTGGTCAGGACAAAACATGCCAGTGAACCAGGATAACCACTACAGTATATGACTAAATTCTGCAGGTGCATCTATGTCTTAAAGAACCACAGTGCGTATCTTTTTTAAACCTTGTAATTTGCTGGGAGGACAGTGACAAACTCTTTCACTGAGACTTCAAAAAGAAGAAACAAAATTAGAAACCCATGACAAAGAGTATGCATGATTTTATGGCAATTGCTCAGCTTTTCCTCCAAGTGTTGGCTGCTGAAAAAACAGTGTCTTTCCAACTGGTGTGATAGACATGCAAGCACAAACGATTAAGAAATCTAAGGATCTTTGCAAATAAAATATACGACCCTGAAAAATCATTAAGATTCTATTACTAACCTCTCAACATCAAACCAAATATTCCTTGGCAATGAACCAAGTATGGGTATGAGAGACTGAATGATAACTTTGCACAGCAGGTATAATTTTGGACTTCACTGTCTCACCAGAAAATATGTGAATTCAGCCACGTTTTAAAGGCAGGGAGGCAATATAAAAATGAGCCATACTTCTCTGTGTACATTTTAAAGAAATTTCTTCTTACCTTGGCTTCCTCCTAGAGTGGCTAGTTGAAAAGCTTCTTCAAGAGTTAGTCCTGTTTCACTCAATTTATTGATCTGAAGGCTATTAGATGCCATCATTGTTTTCCTGATAGCATCAAGCATAGAAGCTGAATATCCACCGGCAACATCTAGAAGGGGTCAGACTCTTAAAAACAAGCCTTGGGAATAATTCTCTGGATTAAATTTCTATGAGATTTAGTTAAATGTAATGAATTGGCAGATGTGGTAAACACAAAAAGTTTTAGTGCTAAGCACTGTTTCTGAATGTATAATTCCTAATAAAGGTGCTCTCACATAGGAAGTCAGGTAAATATAGCTCAATACAGAGCAACAGAAACTTGAGAAGTTGTTGTTTAAGCTCTATTTACTCTCACAACAAGAACAAAAAATTTCTGAATTATTTTTTTATTTTATTTTTAAACCCTTTTGGACCAGCTCTAGTACACCATTCTCTAGATTTCATTACTCTATAAGTAATGGGGGGAAAAAAGCAGGTCCATTAATCGGAGGCATGCTGATTTTTAAATAAGAATAAGTAGTCATGTTTTTATATCTTCCAATGGTTTAAAACAAAATAAAACAAAACAAAAACTGTTTTCACAGCAAAATACCAACCTGTGCCGAGGCCAAGCTTCACATTGTGTTTCAGGACATTTCTCACATTTAAGACACCACTACGCAACCTGGATTGGAAGAAGAAACATGGTCTGTGTGATACACACAGAGGAAGTTCAGGAAGAGCAAGGCTGCAGAGCCATTTCATCAAAAAAGCTCTCAGAACATCTGTAGCAGATTTGGTTTATTAAACTGGGCTAGGGTATTTGCATTCATACATCTGAAAGATGGGGTTTAATCACTTCCCATTTTCCCAAAACATATGCATATTCTGAGAGACATGACTAAATCTGTCATTGACAGAAGAGTTAAAAAAACCAAATATTTTTTAAAATAAACAAATACATATATATATATGACTATTGTCAAATATCACTAGTCAGTAGAAACCATACCACACAGAAGGGGAGCATGAATGGTGATGCACAACCCAGTATGTCTCTTCCAGTGGAATGGGGTATCATATATATATATATATAGCTTTGCAGGCTGGACTCAGGGTATTGTGTGAACAACACCTTTAATTACACACCTTTTTTCCTTTTTTTTAACTTACGAAAAATTAGAATTGGGGCAATGTGAAATTGCAGCTCCACGAACACTAAAAAGCTTCAACTCTTCTTCAGAAAGATAACAGGCATGAGCCATCACTGTCTAAAGAAAAACAGAAACATCAATTTACTCAACATTGCATTACACTGAATCAGGGAATCATAGAATAGTTTAGGTTGGAAGGGACCGTTTAGACCATCTAGTTCCAACCTCCCTGCATGGGCAGTGACACTTCCCACTAGACCAGGTTGCTCAAAGTCCCATCCAACCATGCCCCTGGGCAACCTGCTCCAGTGTCTCAGCACCCTCAAAGCAAAGAATTTCCTCCTAATGTCTAATCTAAATCTCCCCTCTTCCAGTTTTGATTCATTACCTCTTGTCCTCTCACTCTATGTCCTTGTAAAAAGTCCCTCCTCAGGTTTCCTATAGGCCCCTTTCAGGTACTGTAAGGTGCTATATGGTCTCCCCATAGCCTTCTCCTCTCCAGGCTGAACAATCCCAGCTCTCTCAGCCTGTCTTCATAGGAAAGGTGCTCCAGCCTTCTGATCATCTTCATGGCCCTCCTCTGGACCTGCTCCAACAGCTCCATGTCCTTCTTACACTGAGGGCTCCAGAACTGGACACAGTTCTCCAAGTGAGGTCTCAGTAGAGGCCCCCCCCACCAAGTGAGGATAATCACCTCCCTTGACCTGGTGGACCCACTTCTTTTTATGCAGCCCAGGGCATGATTGGCTTTCTGGGTGGCAAGTGGACATTGCTGGCTCATGTTAAGCTTCTCAATAAACAATAAACCCACAGGTTCTTTTTTCTGCTAACTGAAATAGTAATAAACTTTCACTTATGTGAAGAGAGGATTTGCTCTCTGGCAAATCACACAAGGTCCACTAAAACTTTGCTAATTGTATAAATCAGCATGTGCATACTGGTCAGGACAAAACATGCCAGTGAACCAGGATAACCACTACAGTATATGACTAAATTCTGCAGGTGCATCTATGTCTTAAAGAACCACAGTGCGTATCTTTTTTAAACCTTGTAATTTGCTGGGAGGACAGTGACAAACTCTTTCACTGAGACTTCAAAAAGAAGAAACAAAATTAGAAACCCATGACAAAGAGTATGCATGATTTTATGGCAATTGCTCAGCTTTTCCTCCAAGTGTTGGCTGCTGAAAAAACAGTGTCTTTCCAACTGGTGTGATAGACATGCAAGCACAAACGATTAAGAAATCTAAGGATCTTTGCAAATAAAATATACGACCCTGAAAAATCATTAAGATTCTATTACTAACCTCTCAACATCAAACCAAATATTCCTTGGCAATGAACCAAGTATGGGTATGAGAGACTGAATGATAACTTTGCACAGCAGGTATAATTTTGGACTTCACTGTCTCACCAGAAAATATGTGAATTCAGCCACGTTTTAAAGGCAGGGAGGCAATATAAAAATGAGCCATACTTCTCTGTGTACATTTTAAAGAAATTTCTTCTTACCTTGGCTTCCTCCTAGAGTGGCTAGTTGAAAAGCTTCTTCAAGAGTTAGTCCTGTTTCACTCAATTTATTGATCTGAAGGCTATTAGATGCCATCATTGTTTTCCTGATAGCATCAAGCATAGAAGCTGAATATCCACCGGCAACATCTAGAAGGGGTCAGACTCTTAAAAACAAGCCTTGGGAATAATTCTCTGGATTAAATTTCTATGAGATTTAGTTAAATGTAATGAATTGGCAGATGTGGTAAACACAAAAAGTTTTAGTGCTAAGCACTGTTTCTGAATGTATAATTCCTAATAAAGGTGCTCTCACATAGGAAGTCAGGTAAATATAGCTCAATACAGAGCAACAGAAACTTGAGAAGTTGTTGTTTAAGCTCTATTTACTCTCACAACAAGAACAAAAAATTTCTGAATTATTTTTTTATTTTATTTTTAAACCCTTTTGGACCAGCTCTAGTACACCATTCTCTAGATTTCATTACTCTATAAGTAATGGGGGGAAAAAAGCAGGTCCATTAATCGGAGGCATGCTGATTTTTAAATAAGAATAAGTAGTCATGTTTTTATATCTTCCAATGGTTTAAAACAAAATAAAACAAAACAAAAACTGTTTTCACAGCAAAATACCAACCTGTGCCGAGGCCAAGCTTCACATTGTGTTTCAGGACATTTCTCACATTTAAGACACCACTACGCAACCTGGATTGGAAGAAGAAACATGGTCTGTGTGATACACACAGAGGAAGTTCAGGAAGAGCAAGGCTGCAGAGCCATTTCATCAAAAAAGCTCTCAGAACATCTGTAGCAGATTTGGTTTATTAAACTGGGCTAGGGTATTTGCATTCATACATCTGAAAGATGGGGTTTAATCACTTCCCATTTTCCCAAAACATATGCATATTCTGAGAGACATGACTAAATCTGTCATTGACAGAAGAGTTAAAAAAACCAAATATTTTTTAAAATAAACAAATACATATATATATATGACTATTGTCAAATATCACTAGTCAGTAGAAACCATACCACACAGAAGGGGAGCATGAATGGTGATGCACAACCCAGTATGTCTCTTCCAGTGGAATGGGGTATCATATATATATATATATAGCTTTGCAGGCTGGACTCAGGGTATTGTGTGAACAACACCTTTAATTACACACCTTTTTTCCTTTTTTTTAACTTACGAAAAATTAGAATTGGGGCAATGTGAAATTGCAGCTCCACGAACACTAAAAAGCTTCAACTCTTCTTCAGAAAGATAACAGGCATGAGCCATCACTGTCTAAAGAAAAACAGAAACATCAATTTACTCAACATTGCATTACACTGAATCAGGGAATCATAGAATAGTTTAGGTTGGAAGGGACCGTTTAGACCATCTAGTTCCAACCTCCCTGCATGGGCAGTGACACTTCCCACTAGACCAGGTTGCTCAAAGTCCCATCCAACCATGCCCCTGGGCAACCTGCTCCAGTGTCTCAGCACCCTCAAAGCAAAGAATTTCCTCCTAATGTCTAATCTAAATCTCCCCTCTTCCAGTTTTGATTCATTACCTCTTGTCCTCTCACTCTATGTCCTTGTAAAAAGTCCCTCCTCAGGTTTCCTATAGGCCCCTTTCAGGTACTGTAAGGTGCTATATGGTCTCCCCATAGCCTTCTCCTCTCCAGGCTGAACAATCCCAGCTCTCTCAGCCTGTCTTCATAGGAAAGGTGCTCCAGCCTTCTGATCATCTTCATGGCCCTCCTCTGGACCTGCTCCAACAGCTCCATGTCCTTCTTACACTGAGGGCTCCAGAACTGGACACAGTTCTCCAAGTGAGGTCTCACAAGAGTGGAGTAGAGGGCTCCCCCACCAAGTGAGGAGAATCACCTCCCTTGACCTGCTGGACCCACTTCTTTTTATGCAGCCCAGGGCATGATTGGCTTTCTGGGTGGCAAGTGGACATTGCTGGCTCATGTTAAGCTTCTCAATAAACAATAAACCCACAGGTTCTTTTCCTCAGGGCTGTTCTCAATCGGTTCTCTGCCGAGGCTGTATTTGTGCCCAACCTAGGTGAAGGGCCTTACACTTGGCCCCGTTGAGTTTCATCAGCTTGACATGGGCCCACCTCTCAAGCCTGTCAGGATCCCTCTGCATGGCCTCCCTTTCTACCAGCATGTCAACCACATCACACAGCTAGGTGTCATCAGCATGTTTCCCTTCGTCTCTCCAAATATTTGCACCACGTGGGTGTATCTAATTATATGGAATATTCTTTAATTTAAATAATCTAATTTGTGATGTAACAGATGATGGTTTTTCTTCCTTGGCCTGAATACCTGACTTTAAAAATAAGTTCACAAGCAGTATACACAAAACACAGAAGTATAGGATACTATCATTTAATAGGACATAAAACAATTATTCCTAAGCAAATCTACTTGGATTTACCTCATTTGTCAAATGCCCAAAGAGAAGAGAAGAGTTCTGTTGGGCCTTGCAGAGAAGGAGAATGTCACAGGGACTGCTCCCACTGAGCATTTCCTAATAGCACTGTACCTTTCCCATCTCTACTCATCAAGCTCAAACGTAACTGAAAATGCCATGAGAACAGCCACATCTTAAGGTCAGCCATGTGGTAGCTGTTGAACTGTATGTCTGCTGATCTGTACTTCTTTTTACAAGGAAGGAATATCTCAGCCACAGCTCTGAAAATCTATTTTTTAAAACATAAAAATATATATATATTAATTTGGCGTCTTAGTTTTGTTAGTTAGGGAGGGTGGAATGTCTGTGGTTTTGTTACGCTTGTGTTCAATGTAAGCTTCACCAATGCTTCACCTGGCACCACAAAACACTAACAACCCTGACTTTCTGTGACCTTTTTCACTGCTGTGCATGTAAGAGTCTGGCAGAATTAAGACCTGTATCATCGCAGCACTAATATTGTCTGTAGTACCCTGATGCAACAAATCACAGTGCATAGGACTGTGAGAAACAGTGTGAGGAGAGAACAAAGGTTTATACTGTGTATGTCCTTGAGTAGTCCATATTGATTTCTCTGGTAAAAAGGGCTATAAATAAGTAATTTACTGGGCTACATATGCAAACAGAGAAATGGGAATTCAACAGCTACTTCCAAAGTTGTTCCCAGATGCCTTTTATGCCTCTGAACATTTTCTCCTAAACTTTTAAATCAATCTGACTGACATTTAAGCACTCTGACTGCTCACATTCACCCTTGCACGGGCTCCCCACTATTTAATACAGTGTGCCTTGGCCCTCCAACCTATACTTTGTGTAGGCTGGTATCAGATCTGCTTGCATTAATCTCATCAGCATAAAGCTTTAATGAATTTCAACTCTTCAGGTCATTGTGCTTCTCCATACATGGTAAAATCAGCTAATGAGTTGAGAGTACTTTTGGATAGTCCAAACAGTAACTTGTACCTGCCTGTATATGAGGTTCATACACAGAACACAACAGGACAAGCTCAGTTTCAAAACTGCCAAAAATTAAGTTGGTCCTACCATAGCACCACAGAATAAATCTTCAGAACATTATAACATAAGGATAACTGTGTAGTGCCCAAGAATTACCCACTCCTGCAATACCTGCTTTACCTAGTCTCCTTCTGATCCCACCAACCCAGTTCTTCTTTGAGTCCTTGGAAAATAGATCAGGGAGCATGAAATACCTTTATTGTTCATGTCCCCTAAAATGCTTGGGAAAAGTGTGGACTTCTGTAAAGTTCCAAAACCTTGACCAACACGAGTGCAATGGAGAACATAAAACCAATTTACTTTTCCCCAGATGGCAATGACCGTGATAAAACGATACAAAGGTTTCCAGTAGCTACAGTTAACCAATATATTATCTACACAGATAAATCTAAGCTATGCTGTGGAAGTTTTTGTGCAGCTACCTTGCTGGTAAGCAGCTTGTTTTTATCATACAATTCAGTGTAATTCTGGTAGGCAGGAAACATGTTTTCCACAAGTTTGAGTTCTTCTTCATTCTCACTTATGTGACTCTGCAATAAGAAAATACATAGCAATGAGTTAGTTAAATAGCATAAAACTTGAGTATAAAACCTTCTCATCGACTTACTGGTGCTAAAAGTATAATGATAGAAGCCAGTATTTGTAAAGCCTTTACTTAGATCTAGTCCTTGGGTTTCTCTTCCCATCACAGAGGTCGCTAGGACCCAAAGGAGTAGCTCCATTTGTCCCCTTAAAAGTAACATGAAATGGCCATCCCAGTATTTTGGTGACATGCCAGCCCACCTGGTATGTAGCAAATGTTAAAATAATTCATATGACTATAAGGTAAAAGAAAGAACCAGCCTACCACAGAGTAGACCGTAAGATCACAGTAATATGCTCCATGTATCTTCAGGTGGACTGATTAATTCCTGGTCTCAGACAGAAATCTGTTCCTCCTGTACACCCACTAGACCATGTATTTTCAAAATGCCCACTTCATAATGACAAAAAATCTTAATGGAGGATAGCTTTAAAACAGCATGTGTTTAGAACTGTGCAACCAAAATAGAAACATCTTGAAACTTCAATCAACCTGTAAGCTTCTAACAACTATGGTGGCAATGTTAAATTAAAATACAGAGATGAGAAATTTTTTACCTACTTAAATCCATTCTGTACAAAACAGCAGATGACAGAGAGAGAGACAGATGTAGCAACCTTGTACAAGAGAGATACTGGTTCCTGGTCTCCTAGTGACCATGGACTCGGGCTCACTTAACTGTGCATCCTTCCAGCTATAAGCCTTCACATTTTCTGTGCAGGTCACAGAGTTCTTGCAGTGTACCATTAATAATTTCAGAGGAATATAATAGACAGGCTCCAAGATAAGAATGTGGTTTAAGTGTTCTGCTGAAGTTATGAAAACTCCCTGGTCTGTATGCTCTCTACCCAAAGTATTTAAAATGTATGTAGAGCTTTCAGAGCTTACCTGCACATGGAGATCCCGAGCCTGTGCTAAATCACCAAGTGCACACAGCAAATCCTCTGTGCAGGAAGGCCCAAAGCGGGGGGTTATTATAGGCTGTACTCTTGGATACTGAAAATATTAAAAATACATTACTTGGATTCTATATCTGTATCTCAATAACAGTAATTAAGACAAGCATTTACACACCAATTGCATTTTGTTTCCATTGATTATTGCTTACTGCATCCTTGCCAACTCAAATTAAGCCTTTCTTACTTTTATTAGAAATTTAACCACAGACACAGGGAATCAAAGTTATTTCTGAAAACAGTTTTAGTGAAACTTAGTACAAAAGTTGTTTTTGTTAGAACTCTTTCATTGAGTCACTGAGATTTCACCAAACTTCACGGGAAGCACTGGATGCTTTTTTGTATTTGCTGACAGCCCAGTACACATCAAGATAAATAAGTCATATGAATGACCTGACATTTTTCTGAGTTTCACTTCCGTGAATATCAAAGATACAATTATGCAAATCTGCAGAGTTCTGTAAAACCCCAGCCTCTTTTTGTTCTATCTTCTCCACTCCTGATAGCAACAAACTGCCCTTGTACTCCCTAGTTAGGAAGATCAGTGGTAGCACCAGGTAAGTTATAAAGTAGAAAACAGTGAAGAAGAAACATCAAGACTGGAGCTACAGATGTTTACTTTCCACCTTGCACTTCTGGATCAAAATTTTCATTAAAAATAAACAATGATATTACAACTCCATCTTCAGTCACAGCCAATAGCTGTGAATGTGGCACCACTAAAAGCATATAATAATTGGGTTTGCAGTTTCTCATAATCATCTCCCAGATACAAGGAACTCAGGACTTCTGCAGATTAGTTGCCTTACTCTACTGATACATATAATTTAGACATTAAACTCTAGACAACTGTTCTTGAATATTTTGAGATAAAAATGTCAAGAAATTAAGGCACTGAAAACAAAAGCCTGTTAAGAGAAGTATCCTTACTTGTAGTATTGGAGTGTAAACCTCTACTTTTACCTCAGGGGTATAAATCTGAATTTCTTTTGAAACACAGGGAAAGACATGTGCTGATCCAAAAGACAAATTTGTTAATGGATTAGTAAAAACATTGATTTCTGCTGTTAAGAACCTCTTTTACTGGTCTATTTATAGATCACAGACTAACTTCCAATTTTTTTTAATCAGAAAATTGTCCTTTCTATTTAGCAGAATATTTACAAGTCAGTAGAGAACACACAGAGAACATTACTCTGCTGTACTCCGACCACAGGAAACTGCATTTATGGCTACAAGTCCATTTCTCAGCAAGATGGCAGCAAAACATTTTTTGGTGTAACAGTATTTGTCTACTACACATAAAGATGTGTATTTCTTGATTTGTCACTAAGCCATAAGAATTTGTCAACAGAATCAACTATTTCATATATTCACACAGCACCTTCTGAACACAAACATGAATACAAAGGAGAACTCTACTTACATTCTTTTCCAGTAGCTCTTTAACAAACCTGAAAAAAAAATTTATGAAAAATATAGAAATATTAACCTAGACACCATCTTAAGCATTTCAGACATAGATTATATTTTTACAGAAATTCAGGGCAGGTTCTCAGATGAAATAAAAAGAAGGAATACAATGAAATCAAGAGAGTTACACCAAATTATATTAATTGTGAACTTCACCCTGAATATGCAGAATTTTTTTCATTTGCAATAATTAATTATAGACACAGAGTAAATACTCTCAGTTCTCACTGAAAACCAAATACCTGTTACATTAAATTCCTTGAAAACATAATTATAAGATACATCTTCAATAGTATAGAAAAAAGCCCCACTTACATTTGTCCAGCCATGAATTTAAATTGCAGCTTTAAATATATTCTACTATTTAAAATCCTGTTTTTAAAAGATGCTGCAATATTTCATACCTCACTTACAGTAGTTGCCTATGTCCTTGTTCACTTAAAGGACCCTTTATTTTCTGGAAATGCTTGCATCAGTGTTAGCATATAGATTATCTACCTTATGCAAAATGCAGTATAGATTTACTTACTTCGTTAAATAAAAGAAGGTACCTCAGGGACCTCTACAAAAAAACCCAAGCAGCTACTATGGATAATGCAGATGAGCAAATAAAAATTCCTCTGACTTTACAGGGAAGAAAGTATTTCAGAACTCATATCGTCAGTGTATGCAAGTAATTTCCAAAAGCCAGCTGGAAATGGGTTCTGGAAGGATCTCTGTGAGTTTTTCTATCACACTTTATGTTCAGAAAACCCCATAATTTTGGTCCCAACAAACACAGAATCAAATCTGTGAAGCAGTTTCAGACTGAAAATAAAATAATGCTGGAGGCAAGATTCACAACACTGAAGCTAGTGCTAGATGACCAGCTGCAAGTGAGAGACCAAAGCTAAACTTCCCTAATGACCAAAGGAGTTTCAGCCCACCATTGTCTAACTTTGAGAGCCAAAATGCAATGTAAATTTGGTACCATTTGTCTCTCTCCACTTACCAATTCACCTGATAAAAAAAATAAAACACCACCTGGAGCAGAAACATACAAGTATAACTCTCAGGTACCAATCCAAAACCTCCAGATGGCTGCTTTCGTTCATTTTCATATTCCTTGAGCAGTGTCAGCAGTGTTTCAAAACTGGAATACCTATTTCAAAATAGCCTATACTTTGTTGACTTCTGTGCTGCTTCTCTACGAGGAAAGAAACTCAGGTTCAAACCACTGTTTTGTGTCAAAGAAGAACAGATTTCGACATGAGTCCTCATCTTTTCAGAGGACTACAACTATTAGTAATATATAATGTATTCTATATTTCAGTTTCCTACATTGTATTCAAGCGGAGAATGGGACATTTAAATTCTTGAGTTGAATTTAGATTTAATATATGAAGCACTTGAAATTGTTTATTACTTCCATGCAAACAATATAAGTATCTCCAGAGGTTAACTGTTAAGAACTTAAATCTGTAATACATTTTCTAACAGTGTGATAGGTCATATTACTTAAAAAAGTTGCCCTCTTAAAGAAAGAACCTTCCACTTTCCATCCTATTGCTGCAATTCAATGGGGGTAAGTCCTCCTGAACCATGCTGACAAGCTCACAACTTTTTTCTCTAGTCAGCTCTGGAGTACTTGTGGCACACTCTCATTCAAAGCGGAGAAACATTTATTATTAAAACAATCATACCAGAAGAGAATTGGAGGCAGAAAACAGGTATTTAAATGAAAGCTATTTAGATAATTGCAAAGCTTTAAGAAGTATCAAAACTGGAAGTTCTGCCACCTTTAGGCCCACTCAGCAGGCCTCACACTGTATTATGAAAACTGGAGATTTATGTGAATGAAAACAAATGACTAGTACTACATATTTTAAAAATGTCTTTAAATATAAACACCATCAGAAATACATGACAATTTCTAACTTCTACTGGCATTCTTCTAGCATGATTTACAAAAATAAGATAGCAACTTTACACATGTCCCATAAGATGGTTATATTACTGTTAGGTATTTTCTTTTTCAGCACAACACTTGAAACATTAATACAAGTAAATAAGCAGTCCTGTGAGAAAAGCTGTATGTCTACTTAAGCATTTTCTGATCATGGATGTGAAAGGCAAGGGATACCTAAGACTCCAATCTTGGGTCCCCTCCACCATGCACATTGTCATGGTTTGATTCTCCTTCATTCTCTCAGCTGCAAATTAATTTCACTGATGCTATGCATGACGAGAGAACTACAGCATGTTTAAAAGGGGGTATATGAGAGCTCACTCCTACAACTAGAGTAGAACTTTATCCTTAACTGGGGGAAGGAAGTGGTTCAGAGGCTGACATGGGTGAAGGAACTGAGTCCACCCCACCACTCCATGTCAGGTAACATCACCTCCAAACACAGAGCTGTGAAAGAGAAAGAGAAGGCAGAAAATAGACAACACACACATATTGTCTCCAAACTCTAGAGCTTTAGACTCTCCCTTTCTTTGGAAGAGCTAGACAGAAACAGATTGGGCTGTGTAGCACCTGGATATGCAGGAATTACCAGGACTGTAGGAATCAATAGTGTTGGAAATAAAAAAAACCTGTTCCTAACAAATTTACATACCTTCACATTAAGTTTCCAGGTGTATGAAAAAGTCTTATTTCTAAAGGCTGCAGCATCAATTTAATCACCCTACCTTTCTGTCTCTTGGATGGAGTCAGCAGTAATCTCTTTGTATTGTGGCACACTGTCATTCATATCCATGCAGACTTTGCCAACAAACGCTCGTTGACCAAATTTATCTGTTGAGATGAGTAAGAAAATAAAACTCAGAACGACTGGTTCTCAAAGATTGCTATCAAAGCCTGTATTGAAATCAAAATAGCCAGGTGCACCCCAGCCAGTTTCATTTCAGAGGAACAGAATTCATGCTCTTGTCTTATCTTTAAGTTGAGACTATCCATGTGACTTTAATAGCTAAAAAGGAAAGAGGGGAAAAAACATCATCAACAAAAACAACCAGAAAAAACAACCCAGAACTTAAAATAGTTCTCCTCTTCCACATTAGTAGTCAATGTTACAAATGTTGTAACTGAGGACTAGATTACTATATTTTAAACATAATCAGAATTCATAAAAGTAGTATATGAATAAGACCACTGAAGCAGACGATGAAAAACACAAGAATCAAAATACAGTACCTGTAGTAGATGATTAGTCTGAGTTGATAAAAGGCACAAAGATCTCAGCAAACCATCTCTCCTTAAGAGAAAGGAATGAGGGTCTGAAGATGCCTCCCATGTGCAACTCGATGGAGGAAATCACCAGAGCTACTTCTAGCCCCATTTCTCAAGATTTATTCATGATAGGACTCAGAATTCATGTGTAAGACTTAAAAGGAACATATATAACACCAAATTCTAAGCTTTTAAAGGTGCTTGTAAAATAGATCTCTTTTGTTCACTTTTACTGTCTGAGCTGTTGATTTATAATGGCTTCCAAATTTTAGGTTTTCTTACAAAATCAGATAGGCTAGGGAATTATTTTAGGAAACTGACATTCTCATTAAATCGCTCTGCTTTGAGAGCTCACTGAGTCTTGAGAAATCCTGCAAAAATCACACATTTTCAAAAGCAGGCATTTGCAATGCTGAACAGAAGGCAGTAGTGAAGATCTTGACACAACTCCACTGCTCTGGTTTTGGAGGGTGTGTAGAGTTTTTTGATGCTGATATTAAACTGAAAATACAGAGTATCAGGAAACCAATGCACTGACTGCACCTCTTGTCATTTAGCCATTTGATCCTCAAACAGCAAAAGGTTAGAAAGAGTAGAAAAGCGTAGTGAAGAGCACCTCCAGCAGACCAAAATCAAGCCCAGCCAGCAGCTGATTTGGGAACGAAGAGATGAGCAGAAACAACAGTTTCTGAGACAGTTAAGTGAACATGTGTAACTTGGGTGGATCATGGGGGCACAGCATGACAGATGCAGTGAGTAAAAAACAAATTAGTAGAAAGACAGATTCTGAGCTAGGGTAAAACTCCTAAGCTCTGTTTCCTTCAACTAACACAGTCTGCTCAACATCCTCCAAAACTCACTTAGTCTTACCTATAATTTCAGCAAGGAGAAGCGAAGTATCTGTGTAAATTGTTGCAAAATAGCAAGCTGTAGTAGTGCCATTCTTCAGAGTTCGTCTCTATAAAAACAAATCAGTTTCAACTGTATGGAAAAAAGAACAGTCAAGCTGCCAAAATGCAGAAGAGGCAGTAGAACTTGAAACTGCGAGAACACTTAGTTATTGCAAAAATATGAAGTGGGAAGGTAAAACAGAGATTTTTTAATTTCATAATAGCTTTTTTGAGTGTTAATAAATAGAAAAATTCCTCTTCTGAATCCATACATTATTTCAGCAATGGCTAAACCCATAGAAACTAGTCTCTGTTTCCTTCACTCAAACTGGAAATAAATTGACTTATATTTAGAAATACAAACTACTCATTTACATTATTTCCTAGTTTTGAACAGATCTACAATTTTCACTGTTAAGCACTGTTTACCTAATGTAAGCAAAGTGAGTATTTTGGGAAAAGGAGTGGTTTCATTTGTCTATCTGACTTGGCTGGGAAAAATAGTCAGGCTTTAACATATAAAAAAACCTTTGTTATCCCTGAACAAAAAGCAACAAACTTCAAGGTAAAAGTAAACTGAGAACAACTGCTTAGACTGTAATTTAATTATTTAGTTAGTTATATGGTTTGAAAGAAGAGGTTGGTTGATACCTGCTCATATTACTTTTGGAGGACATAACAGTAAATCAAGAGCCATTTAAAGTCACATTAAGCAATGATGAAATTTATAGCTTCACTTGAGCTTGGGAATTACACATACTATATTGACTACTCATCCAACATATAGGCTTGAATTACTTTTTCTTTTTCTTTTATTCTGGCTAAAATGTAACTTGAGTATTTGATTTCACTTTTTTTAGATATTATAGAAGATGGGTCATCCAACACAACTTTTGAGATTGGCTAGAGCTAAATATTTGACAAACATGAAGCCTAGTTCACTTTTCCATGAAAACGTCAAATTAAAAAAAAATAGTTAGAAATATGTCTTTAAGGATTCCTAAAATGAGTCTTAAAAATAACATCATCACTGAGACAAGATACTTCTGTCTTTCTTAGATTTTAAAACCCAGAATTTTCTATTTTGGGATTCCTGGCAGCATTGCTAAATGAAATCTAAAAATACTCTGTTTCTAAAATATTAGCATGAAGGATTTGCTTTCCCAAAACTTGAGGGACCAGAGGAGGACCCAGATAAAATCTGGCAAATTTCACCTAATTTTCTGTTTTTATCAACCATATAAAGTGTTTATTTGAAACGGATTTTTTATTTGAAAAAATTCTCAATGTTTTTCATTATAAGTCCGAAATTACAAAGACACATAAGCAGTACCTGCTCCCTGAAGGTAATCCTGTTTCTAAGAACTGAAGGTTATTGTCAACCTAAGCAAATTGTATCCTGCAGCATTTGGGGATGAAGACATTTTCCTGACCTTGTTCTATTTGGTAGATATAGGGAGAGCCTAACTCTTCTGTTGAGGCTCCTACAGCTAACTTCCATCACCTGCTGGCGGTTCTTTTCCAGGTGATGTTATTACACACCTTGTACGGTGAGCACTTTAGCTGGGCTGATGTCAGCTGGAGCGGTGGAGACAGTAACAGTATGTTGAGGCACAAAGCTGGAACATGAGATCACCCCTATGTTTTAAGTAGCTGCTAATCATTCGAGTTTGCGACTAAGCTGTTCCTACACATTTTGATTCTGGCAGATGGCAGAAATGAGGTGTTTTTTTTTAACTTGTGTGGCAAGGACAGTAACTATTTATTACAGATTCACTGTATTATTATTTTGACAATATATCATGCCACAGTATCAGACAAATGCAAGGCAAGTTATGCTGCCAAATCATTTAATCTGTTAAGATATTTCATTACACGTATTAAAGGATACATTTTGGTTATGGAACAGAATCAGTACTCTTTAATGTGACCTAGCTGCTTATTGTTCATTGGGTGGAATTTTACCTTAAAGCCTTTATATTGCTCAGAACCAGTCTAGCTCAAACACAGTCTTTCACTTTGTGCTACAATACCATAGATAGAATTCATCTAAAGCCTCTGCAGTGAAAGATACCCCTGCTACAAGGACCTCAGCTGTAGAAACGTACTCCTTAATTGCTCCAAAACACCACAGATTTGTTTTTGTGTGAAGTACCATTTTTCTTTAATGTGCTTTTCCACATTAATGTTCTTTGCCAAAGACAATTTTATAAGAGGCTTTTTATGCAGAAAAGGAAATATCCTCTTTTTTACTATGCTTGGTTATTTCTGCAGTGAGGTCATCAGCCCCTGCTGGCTATACCTAGCCCTGAGAGTACTCTTAAATGTTGTTTATTATACTCAGATATCAGAAAAGAATATAAATAAGTTCATTGTTAACCATGTGATTGAATGCATTGTGTTAACAGCAACAGCAGAATAAGACTGGACCTAGTACGGAACAATCTTGGTTGGCAATTAGAACAGTGGCTATACTGTTAATTTTATCTTATTTTCATGATATTAAAAGATGATCTAATATTTCTGCTGATCTTCTGAAAACATACTTATTTTTCACAAATATGAATATCATCAAGTAGGTAAATGAGATTTGTAGCACTTACCACAACTCTGGTGTACACTTCTTCTGCAAAATCACTGTCTTTGTATTTGACTTCTGTTGGGAATGTGTATGTAGTCAACCACTGCAAAAGAGGAAGATCAATTCTTGTACCAGCAAATGAATACTGAGGGGCATGAATGTGGGTATCAACCATTCCTGGCATGAAGAATTCACTAAGGGAAGAAAAGAAAATTACAATAGTCAAAAATGTCACAAAAGTTTCCCCATTAAGTAGTTTTGCTTTAAACAGTTATCCGAAAGAAAACCACTAGAGTAAATGGCAAATACAGATTAACCTTCCTCAGCCTATCAACTCTTATTATACCACTCTCTACCCGCCGTCCTGCTATGGTATGAAACAGGTAACTAGTAACTTCTACACAGTTCTAGCTAACTGGTAGGAAACCAATACGAGTATGATTAATCCAGTTTATCTTTAATATTTACCCAGACAAAATAATAACAAATAAAGCCAAACTGGCTTCACAATATTTAAAATTACTTCACTGTAGAATCCACCTGAAAAGGAGATTTGGGCACAGTCTTGCTTCCTAGTACAGATACATTTGGAATGCCTCTAGCTGCCAAACCATTATGTGGTAACTTTCCATATCCCAGTTTTCCTCTACATTACATATGTGCTTATAAAAAATTTCCATCAATGAATTTCAAGGCTTAATGGAAGAACAGCAATTGTGTTTACAAATGCAGACACCAACACTGCTGAAAAAATATTTGCTCAGTATCTTGACAGGAAAGGCATATTTATAAAGGAACAGTAGTATTGTTTGTTGTCATGAAGTGTTCATGCAGTAACAGGGATGAATATATCAACATTACCAGGAGGTTGCTATAATTATTTTGTGCTGGAAATCCATACAGCACAAAATTTCTCTCACTCCCCTTCTCCCTGACAACTGAAGGAATAGTAATTTAGTCTCTTTCTAGTTCCCCTTCTTTCTCTTTTCCTGCATGCTAGAAATGCTGAAAGATCTTTCTCCATGTCATCCATTTTCCCAGCACCTTCCATTTTCCTCAGGCTATTTTGAGTGAAGAAAATATATGATGACTCGTATCTTCTGTATGATTAGCTTTCCAACAAAGCCTATAGTTTTTTTAACAACTGAACACTAAAACAGTGATGCAGCCCTAGATTCTAAGACACAAGTAGTTTACTACTACATACAAAGCACAGTAAGTACAATCCAAAACTATTTTACCTCACGAGAAAGGTAGGGGATTTCACTGGCTGAAGAAACAAGGAAAGTTAGAAATACAAAGCTCTGTACTTAGTAGGTCTAAATCTTCTGATTTTATTAGTTTTTATTAGGGAGCATGTCAATTGAGTTTTATATCTGCAGTGTTACATGTCACTTATATTTACTAAGTCTAGAGTTTCAAGCTAGTAAAGCAAGCCTGCTGCTAACAAAATGGATATAAAATGTAATCTTAAGAAAGAATATCAATTACATCTGCACAGACGTAGCCACAGAAGAGGTGAATGAATGAAAGCTAAATACAGCATTTTGTTCTGTGCACTATAAATCAGCCAGCACAATTCTGCCAAGGCTGCAGTCCCAAATAATGGAATGCAAAACGCACACAGGCCATCCACCTTATGAATCCCATCCAGGATATGGGCAGCTCTTGCGTTAAGAGCTCTCAAGTACTGAAAGGGAGTTTTGCCCAAGAAATTGGTTTTTATGTGCTTCCTGCCAAAATGTATTCATTCACAGACAATTGCATTGCTTCACTCAGAGAATGAACTGCATTTGCTGAAACTAATCTAAACAAAACACATACTGATTACTCAGTTCTCTTATGTCAGATGTTTTGAACCCCCACTTCTTTGTCAGTTTCTCTTGCTGATTTGTTGGTTCCAAAAAGACAATCTAAAAAAAAAAAAAAGGAAAACATAGTTAGATATTTTAAACCTGTACCCTGCATCAGCCTAACAGGAAGGCAAAATGAGTCCTATCTTTTTTTACCCACTTACTACATAAGTGACAGGTTTGCATTGAGATACTTCTTCTTTTGGCTATCAAGCATGATTTTTAAATACCTACCCTCACTCCAGTGAATAACCACACCCAATTTGTAACTTGTAAGACAGCAATTCATTCTTTCTCAAGTAATACACAGGTAGAACCCCAAGGACTTCAGTGTACACTGGCATTCCACTAATAGTACCATGCCAGCAGCACAGTGGTTTGTTGCAGAGATGTGCAACCACGTAACAGGAATGCAATTACAGTATTTAAAACCAGACAGGTCAAATTGAATTGCTCTGCGCATGAGTGTTTAGCCCCAGGCTAAGCATTTCCTGATTTCTCCTCATGTTAATGTTGAGGGTTTTTTTTATTTTTTAAGCACCTGGGAAAAGGAATTGAGGGGGAAAACATGGATAATATTGTCATTTCCCAGAACAGACTTAAAGCATGCCTAAGAACTTAAAAAAAACACAAAAAACTCCACAAAACCAAAAACAACCAAAAAAAACACCCCAACAACAAAAAAAAACAAACCCAAACAAACCAAAAAACTACAATCTGGAGCCTAACTCAGTCCCATTTGACTCCTAGAAGATATTGACTACTGCTGCTGAGTTCCTGTTGCCAGGCCAGAATTTTGGCACACTTTCTGCTTATTTTTAAATTCCATGGTACGTTAATCTACAGCTTGACTCTTGGCAGCTGTATTCTCAACTCTTTAATTCTCTGCTCTGGCAATAACAGACTCAACAACTGTCCAAGAAATAAAGAGTAGGAAGTCTAAGAAATGCAATGCCAATTACAGGCTCCAGGTAGGACTTGGGCTTCCTCAGCACTTGACAGAGTGGAACACGCTGCTTCCTGCCCTGGCCGAAGCCTGTCTGTCTTAGGGCCTCGGGAATTCTTGCCTAACCAGTTTCTGCCAGAAACCAACTCATGTATTTTAACTCCTTTCGTAGAAGAGCTCATTCCTCTAATTTCAAGTGAGTAATCTTACTGCTAATAGCACTCTCTACTCCTGTGAAGATGCCTGAGCTGAGGGCCTGTATCACCTCCCTTAGCCAGAAGAGGACCAAAGAGCCCTGTTTAGCAGTTATTTGCACACCCCCTTTTTAACGTGTGTGTCATTGTCGTTTGCTTTTTCTGTTTGTTTGTTTATTTGTTTGTTTTTCTGTGGAAAGAAATGAGCAAAGCCTGCTAAACTGAACAGAAAAAGTTTCTCCCTGCCTGGTCTTTTAAATGCACATATGGCTTGTATGATTTACATTGTCTAAAGACCAAATGTTTTAAACTTATAGTCAAATAGTACCATTAAAATAAATACCATACTAGCAAAAATTGCAAAAATATTGTAGTCCATTAATATTCCACATAAAGCAGCATCTCTCTTGTTCTAAAGAGGAACACAGCCAGTTTGACTAGCTATATATCTGCAACGGGCTTAGAATACAGACCCACTGAAATTTCTGATGAGCAGTACAGAAAACATGACTCAGCTACTGGAGTCAATATGGATGCAGAATGAGTAATGTTAGGGCTGCTGAATAAAAGCAAACAAAAAAAAGCAACCACAAAAAAAATGGAAAAACACCTAGAAAATTTAAAAAAAAAAAAAAAAAAAAAAAAAAAAAAGAAAAAAGAGAAAAAAATAAAACCCCAGAGGGA